ACATCATTGTAGGTGAATGTTTTTAATGGCATCAATGGCTCTCCCCCACCCCTCCACCCAAACCATCTGTAGCTTCAACCTCACAAAGAAAGTAACTGAACTCATAGAGCTCTGATGCAGAAGCTTCAAACAACTACAAGGGCGAGATCATTGACCAAGAAAAAAACATCAAAGAAATGGGGGAAAAAGGTGCCCTCAGAATCAATGTTAGGTCAATTTGCTAAATGATGCATCAACTCATGTTCATTCAAAAGTACTTCAAAATTATGATCGAATTTAAAACATTTGAAGCTTTTCAAGTACTTGGATCCCCTTGACACAATAGTGCTTTGCAACTTGAGCAATTATTTTGTGCTATTATCAGTAAAAATGAAGCAGTAAAAATGTGACTCTTTGGTATGTGACATTCCGACATCCCCTAAAGTGTAGCAATAGCGGTCCTCTAAAAAATCTAATGTTCTTTCAGAGCTCAGGAAATCAATGTGGTTTAGACTGACTGATGTAATCTAACACTGATGCTTGCATTTGTTTCACGTCATCACACTCCAATCAATCTAAATCAGATTTCAGAATATTGCTGAGTAGATAAAACCAGTTGTCATAAATCACAGTGGCTTCCCTACTGACTGTCTTATCATTACTATATTACTGTATTGTACATTAGTATATCATTGTATTACTATATTACTGTATTGTACATTAGTATATCATTGTATTACTATATTACTGTATTGTACATTAGTATATCATTGTATTACTATATTACTGTATTGTACATTAGTATATCATTGTATTACTATATTACTTGTGGAGTCCTGTAGCTCAGTGGTAAGAGCACTCGCTTTGCAAGTGAGAGACCTGAGTTCAATTCCAGGCAGGACGAAACCTTGGGCAAGTTTCCTTACTCCACACGCCTAATAATCCCTCCAAAACTAAAAACAATAATTAAATTGGTCATTTTCAATTTTCAATGTTTGTGGGACATTGCTGTGCGCAATTGGCTGCCGCGTTCGCCCACAAATATACAGTCAATTCACTTTACAGTGTGTTCTGTGAAGCGCTTTGGGACGTCCTCCCGACGTGAAAAGCGCTATATCAAATGCAAGGATTATTATTATTATTATTATTATTGATTCACATCAATGTTTCGGGTTCTTCTGTTAGCCAGGTATCAGCCACATTCAGAAATCCATCACCATTCTTATAAGTATCCAAAGCAGACTGAGAGCTCCCTTTCAATATGTATTTAATTCTTACTGCTTACTTAATTCTAAAGAGTATTAGGCGCAGGTTAACAAGAGACCAGGCTTGGGTCCCCAGAGCGAGTTAGGATACTGCTCGAGTTTAACTAACCATTATCAGATATCCTGCCATTCAGAGCACACTTTGGCAAGCTTAGGCTTCTTGCCCAACTAGGACCATTCTACCCTTTAGAGCTTTGACTTGCAGTGTTAACAGGAGCTGAGTGGGAAGGATCCGTGCCCTCAGCGACTGCCCCTCCAAGGCCTTCCTAACAGAACGCACAATACATTATTACATGCCTTTATTAAGGTTTGCCTTTTAATTTCACACAACAATAACAAGTCATCTAAGCAATTGCTAATCTCCTACGGATGACTTCACATCTCACCAGTGTATAGCTTAAAACTGCCTCTAGATCACGTCATTCCATCTATTCTGACTGAAAGCAGTTCACTTCCCAACAATACAAGATGTCAGCAAGTCAAGTCAGCATATTGGAGCACAAACCAGCACATGGACCTCCAGCTTATTTCCTTTTGCATGAAGGATTGCAACAAACCTTGGTGTTTTCATACATGTCCCACAATCCCACCCTTGCCTCCTTCAAGGCCCGTCCCCAGACCCTCCTCTTCGACCGCGTCTTCGGCCACCCTCCTACCACCCTGCCCTCCACCTCCCTGATCCTAAGTCCCCCTGTGCGAGTCCAAATCCCTGAATGTCCAACGCCTTGGGACGACATGAAAGGCGTTATACAAATGTAATTTTGTATTGTATGTCAAGGAATCTGACTGCACAGAAACTGGCCATTCCTGCCATCAAGCCTTATATAGCACAGAGGGGAGGGATTGTGTTCTTTGGTGGTAATTTTCCTGCTCCAAATAATTGTTATTCACAAATTTGAAATCATACTAACAGTCAAGTGAGGAGTCCAGCATTTGAACCCAGAGAGGAGTTCCAAGGTCCTAGTTATTATTTTGCCAGAACTTGCATTTATATAGTGACTTTACTAGACACGTAAAGTCTTGGAGTGCTTTACAGGGATGCCTCAAAACATCACGCAAGGAGATGGGAGAGGAGGGAGGTGACTATATGCACTGTGGAAACAAAGATAGGGCTAGATGTAGGGGTTAAAGGAGAGGGAGTTCGAAAAGGAGAGGTGTAGTGACTGAAAGCTTGATCGTCAATGGTGAAGTGAAGAACATGCCAGGTTTGCCAAGAGGAGGGGGCAAACAGAAGAGTGTGGCTCAAGTGGATAACAGTGAAAGGGAGGTTTGAGGGTGTGAAGGGATTTGTAGGTAAGAGTGAGAAACTTGGTCGATCTGATTGGAAGCAGTGAGACAGTGAGGTTGGCAAGGACAGGGACGTGAAACTTTATGCAGAAAATAACAATAATCATTACATTTAGTAGAATGTTTTCATGTCTGGAGGTCATAGGAAACTGCTTCACAAGATATACAGTAAAGTGGAGTCACTGTTTTTCATAGATAAGGTTGCGGTTGGTATTAGCTACATTAGGTATGAGATAGGCAAAGATGTAGAAAAGCCATCTTGATCAGGGACTGTATATCACGGAGTAAACAGAACTGAGGGTCAAGGTTGTGAACTGGTCTAATGAGTTGGCGAGTTGTGTCCAGAAAGGTTGAAGAAGTCAAGAGACAAAACCAAGGAATCACCTGGATTCATTTTACTATTCAAATAACTAAATTGTGGATTACCAGGACATGCAGTAGCCTGGCTCATTCGGCAACACTCTGGCCACCGAATCAGAAGGTTGTGGGTTCAAGCACCACGTCAGGAGTTTGAGCTTACAGTCTAGGCTGATAGTCTAACATAATGCTATTGGACTATCAGCATCAGACTCTCACAGCACTTCACTGGATTTACTGTAAGGTGTAGTGACTGTGTGTTGTGCAGGTAAACGCGGCGACATTTTGCACACAGCAATGTCCCATAAGCTACCACGACGTGAAAGGCCAGTTTTATCTGGGATATCTGGGAGAGCTGCATCGTTGGAGGTGCCATCCTTTGGATGAAATGTTATACTGAAGTCCCTTCTGCCTGTTCAGGTAGTACTATTCTAAAAGAGAAGGGAGTTTATTCTGCTGTCCTGGCCAACAATCTCCCAGATAAAATTGGTCTTTCGCTTCATGGCAGATTATGGGACATTGCTGTGTGCAAAGGGTCTGCCGAGTTCACCTACACAACACAGTCACTACACGTACAGTAAATCCTGTGAAGCGCTCTGAGACATTCTGCAGACACGAAAGAGATTATATCAAATGCAACTTTTTTTAAAAACATTAGGCTCTGAGACGTTGGGCCAGCTTCGCATTTCCACCATCTCCCTCTGTCATCTTTAATAGGTCTCAATGGACACAGTGCCAACAAAGAGAAATGGCACTCAGTGGCTCTATACAATGGTTTTTGCACATGGAATTCCCAGTGCAACAAGGACATCAATGTTGATGACAGATTCAGGGATTCATTACTGCCAGCGAGAAAGCAGCACGCGGGAGTCTTCTGTCGGAATGGTTATCAGAGCGCAGGTTGTAAAATAAAAACGTCAGCTTCTGATTGATGCATTCACAAGGTTGGTCCTGAGTGACACATTTCTAAATCCATCTGGATGATAGCAAAACGGATAGTAACCCACTTTCTCTTTTTGTCTGATCTAGACTTCAAACAGGTGTATGGTATTGTGTGCTGAACCAGATAAATAGATGTAACACAGGCTTTAAAGGGTCACAGAGACTCCTCTGGCAAGTGACAAGGAAGCCCTCACTGACCCCAATAATCTGTATTGCATCCACCTGTTTAACAGCAACATGTATTTATATAGCGTCCTCACTCGTGCTGGTGTCTTAGAGCAATTGGTTTGATCGTTTTTATTGTGACGCTCTCTTATTATTAATAATAATCCTTGCATTTGGTGTAGCGCCTTATCATGTCTTCAAGACACGTCAAAGCGCTTCACAGAATATACTATAAAATGAATTGACCATATTTTGCGGACAAAACTCTTAGCAAAATATTCCATGCACATCTGCCTCAGGCACCAGAAGTATCTTAAAAAGCAAAAATTGTAAAAATCAAAAAGTTTTAATAAGAGTTCGACTAAAATGTGTGAATGGACTTTTATTTATAAAAGATAATGAAATGCTGCACTAACCGGCACCATAATATCCAGACTTTTTCAGTTAAATGCAAACCGTGAAACCTTGACGCAAGCCACAATAAAAGTGGGGCCTTTGAAAAATATTTTTCCATCAGGTTAAATCACACACAATTACATGCCCCTCACATTTGATATAGCGCCTATTACGTCCTTTAGATGACTCAAAGCTCGTCGCAGAATGTACTGTAAAGTACACTGACTGTATATTTTTTGTGGCCGAAACACAGCAACCAGATGTACCCAGGAGTGTCCCAAAACAGTTGTGGATTGAGTGACCAAATTATTATTAATTTTTTTGGGGGGTGGGGGGGTAAGGGAAATGGAACAACTTGGGGAGGAGAAACAGAACAATGTCAACAGAACAACCCCCTCCAGCTAAAGGAATTCTTGCTTTAACTAAATTTCACTTTTACCCTCTCCTTCCATCCATTCCAGCAATAGAGGCCTCCCATTAGCAATCCTTTACACAGCAGGAGCAATATTATTAAAATCAGCATTCTTCCCATTACTTGGTTCTAATGGTTATTATTAGCTTTCAACTCACAATGGGCCCTTGCATCGTAATTGTGAACAGATCACCTACCTCTCACAAAATGTATGCAGACAAGGAAGTACTTTGGGAATATTGTAACGCTCCAGACAAATGCTGCAGATCAGGAACTGTTTGTCAATCTGGCGTACCACAGGGCTGCTAATGTTCGAGCTGTCACTGGCCATCCTAACGCACTGACATGTGGGTCACGTTTGCCCTTACCCAGCACTCTGAAAGAAAGGAGAAACACAGACAAATTATATGAAATGAAACCAAGAAAAGAAAGAGAAAACAAAACAACCTCATTGCTCAGATTAAGATTAGAAAAAACATAAATTGTAAATCACAAGCTAAAAATGCACATGGCAAGAAAACTTTTACTTTGGCATAGAAACTGAAGCATAATTTAAAAATCTCATTCGCTTTTGATAAACTATGTGGGGAACAAAGAAACCCACCATGAATTCACAACTTCTTCTATTTGATCCAAATAAAGACTTGTTAGATTTTTTAATTTTTCCCATGAAATAGATTTTATTATTGTAATGGACATTTCAAACAACTGTAGCAGATAAGAGTTTGTAACAAAATAACAGTGGAATGTCTAATAATTACCGACAAAAAACAGTTTGTTATAACTAGAGGCTAATTAAAGGAATGCCAGCAAGTTTAAAAATACTGTGGCTGAATGAAATATCATCAGAATACAGTGTGATAAAGAAAATACTGAGGTGAGAGAGCAATATTACTAAGCAGTGAGCAGCATGAAGCAATTTCCATTTAAATCCACATGACGCCATGGGTCAAAAGACTATTCAGTACAGTTTATGGTTTACATAATGGGTTTGTGGAGTGGGCAGGCCCTACTAGAGGTTATGCTTTGACTCCCTAATCCCACAAAACCATAATTCTTGTATTATATGCTGTATTTATCCTCCAGATGGCAAATGGCCCTGCCCTTTGGCTGTAACGTTATTGTGACAGCAAGGCAGTGGTAATGCTTTCAGAGGTGTGACGATGACCTCAAGCAATAGAGGCAAAGTGCTAGAAGCAGCGATCTGAACGGGGACTCCAAATGTTTCAGACCCTATTTGTTTGTGACTGTGGAAGAATGGACCTGGAGGCGGCCTGTCTAAACCTAAATTTCTAACGGTGCTAGACCCTGTATATCTCAATTTGAAATTTGGTCCAACTTCCAACAGGAATTTTCCAAAATTCCACATCCTATGTTTAAAGACATTTTAAAGAGCGTTGGGCCTGAGAAGAAGCAATAGGATGGAGACCATTGAGGGGCTGAGATTTTCTCAGGCTGGAATCCCACAGCAGTTCAAGTACAAATGCTGCTACTGCTTTCTATCTGTATGTTGGCTGAACTGGCTCCAAGATGACATGTTTGGTAGTGGAATGTCGGAGTTGAGCCAGCCCTGTTACAGTCTTGGTAGTCCGGTTCCTGAGCCAGATGGGTTCACAATATTCCAGGCCACTGCTGATGACAGCACAACCACCCTCTCAACTTTGACTACAAATTTTCCCGAGCCTATTAAGATTTTGAACAATACATGCACAGCACTGTATGCAGTCTAATTTGCAGTATTTATTAATGGGATTCGAGGTAGAATTCCCGTCAACCCACAGGACCTCAGCCCCGGACGTAGGTCACTTAGAGCCGAGTTGCCACGGGGAGCAATAATTTATTTAATAATTTAACAGGAGTGGATCTAACAGAATTGCAAGACAGGCTCGAGGAACATCGCCAGACTACGGCACTACCTCACCCCTCACGCTGCTGAAACCCTGGTCCACGCCTTTGTCACCTCAAGGCTGGACTATGGGAACTCTCTCCTCGCCGGCCTTCCCGCCACCTCCCTCCACAAGCTGCAGGTCATTCAGAACTCTGCAGCTCGTGTACTGTCCCGCACCAGGCTTCGGGACCACATCACACCCACCCTCGCTCGCCTCCACTGGCTCCCCATCCCCCAGAGGATTGATTTCAAGATCCTCATCCTCACCTATAAGGCCATTCACGGTCTCGCTCCCTCCTACCTCTCTGACCTACTATCCCCCTACCTACCTGCCCGTACCCTCCGTTCCTCTGGCTCCAGTCTGCTCCACATCCCCCGCCCCAATTGCCCTACCATCGGTGGTCGGGCCTTCAGCCTCTCAGCCCCCAGGCTCTGGAACTCCATCCCCCAGTGCCTTCGCCGCTTCCTCCCTCTCCTCCTTCAAGGCCGGTCTCAAAACCTTTCTCTTTGACCGAGCCTTCAGCTCCCCTCTTGACTCTCTTCCCCCTCCTCGCTCCCTCCCTTCCCTCCCCTCACCCTGACCATTTCCCCCCTCCTCCCTCCCTCCCTTCCCTCCCCTCACCCTGACCATTTCCCCCTGCTCGGGTCCTGACCCAACTGTACAGCGCCTTGGGACGTCCTCCTGATGTGAAAGGCGCTTTATAAATGGAATCTTGTTGTTGTTGTTGAGGAGCTAAATTGCCTTCTCCTGTTCCTATATCAGCGTAACATATTTGTTATTGGAAAGGCCTCCCCATTCAGACTGGTTGGATTCTGTATCAAGTAACCTTGTTAAGAAATGTGGCAAAATTAAGCCAAGTGTTTGGAAATTTCTGATTTGCATCTGTAGCCAATTGGACTGACATGCCTCTGCTAGGAGAAGAATGGAGCGTGGATTAGTCGGTGAAGCCTTGTGCACTTTTGTGGCCAGATCTCAATGCACACTCATGCTGTAGTCACCTGTGATTGAATCAGATTCGAACAGTGTTCCTCCCACCTCTAGCACAGAGGTGCTGTCACCCTGCACCATCTCAACAGTTCCACACTAAACAAAACAGTTCCCACAGCTCCGGGAAATGCTGAGGGCAGCAAGAGGGAATCTTCCAAATAAATTGCTGGGTATATTTCATGAGTAATTTTCTTTTGGGTCAGTCGGGTGTTTAACACACGCGGAAACCTATCTCTATGCTTAAGAGTATCCAAACCAAGCTGAGAATTCCATGCATCCCACCTACACATGGAAATCCCAGAGATAGATTGTTGGAATGGAATGCACACTCTCTCCCTGGAGCGATGCTTCCTGCTTACCTAATTCAGGAAAATTTGTTACTACTACACTGGTATGTGGCAAATCCAGATTGTACATGGGGCTGCAAATGGCAGATGTTAATGGCACCTTGACGCAAGGTGAAGCTCCTCACGGCGTAAAGTGCATCTTATGCTGAGAACTCAGTATACATCACAACAACTCTCAGGAAGTCGGCTCCAAGGTGAGCTCAGGTCAGAGCCGATGCCTGACAGGTTAGGGTGATGTACACAGGGTTCCCTGAAGAAAAGGCATCTGTGAAGAGCTTCAAGGTTGTGAACAACTTCAAGTGGTATGTTCTCAAGCCCTCAGTATGGTGGAACCGAGTAACAGGCACCCCAGTTCACGTATTAAACCTCACGCTTCACATGCTTCAGGTGCCACCCCTCATCCTCAGGCTACTCCACCACATCACACATTTCACAATGCTCAGATTTTAGTGAGTAATGCCATCAGTACCGTGTCTGTTTTGTACTGCACTCAGCATCTCAGCCTATCTCAAAATGTGCACCTTTGACCATGCTTTCGATCATTCTTTCCCCTTCCCCACTCCCTCACCTCCCATCCCCACCTCAGATGCCTATCTAGCACGCTGGATCCAGTTTGGGACGTCCTCCCGACATGAAAGGTACTATATAAATGTAAATTGTATTGAACATAGGACAATTTTAACCGCTGAACTGGAATCATTCTGCAAATAATAATAATAAACCTTGCATTTGATATAGCACTTGATCACATTGTTCAGACGTCTCAGATATGCTTTTAAGCGGAACTGTTCAACCTACATGCTCTGTGCACTCATATTGTACTAGTGCTACACTACATGCCGTGATGGATAACAAAAAAGTAACAGGCCTCATTTAGATAAAAGTTCCAGTGAATGTGTTACTCACCTCGCAGCGCCTTTTGACATTGTGTGATTATAAAATCCATATTAGCGGATGACACTGTCAAAGGTGATGTGTGTAACACTCAGCAGAATAGTTCTCCAATTTTACACAAAAATAGATCCCATTCTTCAACGAGTTGGGGCAGAAGCACATTATCAGAGGTAATGTTAAGTAATGCGCAAGCAAAAGAGGACACCTCGAAAAATGACAGCGTCATTTTTCACTGTTTTTGTATGTATGATAAGATATCCCAATCTTACGCAAATACATTTCCCATTAAAGCCACTAAATTTGCTGACTCTCTGAGCCTTGGGTTTCTGGACAGTCACCATTCATTCACTGCAATGGATGACAAGTTAATTCACCTTAACAAATTTTTCTCCACAATTATATCATGCTGTAAAGATGGAAATCACATCACACGGTCCTGAGTTTCAGATTCACTGAAAGAATATTGAATACCTTCTACTATTTTAAAAACCTGAATCGTACCTCCACTCCCTCCTGCTTTTGTAAACAAAACATTCCGAGTTCCTTCGGCTGCTCCAAGCCTGGGAATCATCATTGTGGCTCTCCTCTGCCCCCTCACTGCTCAGATCTTTCTCTTCTCATGATACACTGGAGCTGCTACACAGCTAGCACAGCACACACAGAATGGCTTTAAGGGTTTAATGCGTCACATCCTTTTGGAGGAATGGACTGAAACATTAGACACCTCCTTCTGCTGCTGCAGCTGAATACGTTATAATTCCAATCTCAAACTCCCAACAGCTCTTCCTTTAACAGAATCCTATATTTTTTGTTCATATCATTGAAACCAAAATGATTGACCTATTTAAAGAAATTAAGAAATCTCCTGATCTCTGCCTTCTCTCCTTTGATATTTATTTTTAACTTAATTGTGGCCATTGCCGCTTAAAACGGACTTCAAAGGGAGTCCGCTTAAAACGGACTTCAAAGGGGGGTGGGGGGGGGGGAGATAACTAGAAATTCTGTGGAATTAAACTAGATTTGCAATTTATCTCAATGCCCACGTTGATCTAGGATTTATGTCTTTCACAAATAAGGGCTAGCCAGGGTAGGAGAAAGAGGCTCCATAAGGGATCATTATTCACAAGGGATTCTGGCCGTTATCAACCCGACATCACAGCAGCATAGAGCAATGGAAGATATCAAAAGAGGCACACGCAGGGCGGCAGTGATGATTCTAGTTGAACATACACGAATCACACAAAAAGAGACACATTTTCTTTTGTGAACACAGAAATAAAAGACAATGAAATGGTTTCTTTGCATCGGCACAGTTGATGCAAAACACACCAAGGCAATTCTCTGCTTACCTCTCCCACCCTCACGGAGTAATATACAGGAACTGAGCGTACGGTGATTTATTATGCACAAATTATAGGCTAATCCTACCTAGAATTACCCAGATATGGATATCCTCCAAGGAAGCGAGTGATGCCTTGCATTAATAAACATTTTATTATTAGCAGCGTTCTTTTCAGACACATGCACAGGAAATCTCAACTCTAATTTGGTTTTTTTTTAAACAGAATTCCTCGATAAAGAATCCAAGTCATGAAAGTTGGAATACCGTCTGGTAATTGGAATTACGTTTTACTGACTAGCCCACAAAATTCTGCTCTCAAGCAATTTATTTCTGGAGCAGCGTTCCCGCAAGTTGCTGGAAATTCTAACGGCTTCCCAAATTGAGGAATCCTGTTAAGAAATGCTACACATTTATACTCCCCCTCCTTTCCAGCTTCATTCCACAAATAATTGCATGCATTGTACCATCTGACGTTTAATCCTACCATGGTGCAGCCTTTCTTACAGCAAATAGAATATGTTGCTAAATGCAACGATGCTCGATGTAGAGAAGAAAGAGGAGGCGAAACAAAAACATTGAGCACTGAAGAACGATGACCCCGTTAGCGGCACTGCAATAAAAATTCTAGGTCAATAACAAGAAGTTCTCACCAGCTGGGGGTGGAGGCGGGGGGGCGGGGGTGGGGAGGGGGATGAGAAGAGCAGGGAGACCCGAAAGAATTAAAAGGAAAAAAAAATCAATCTTTATTTTGTGCACGTTTCCTGTGCTGGAAGACTGCAGCAAATCTTTCAGAGGATGCCGGGATAGGGATGCAGCACTCAACTGCGGTGAGGTTTCCTATAGGTCAGCAATCAGCCGCCTTAAAGGGCTATCAGATCATGGTGTTTGATCAGTCGGGGGAGGGGAAATGCTACTACAGGATAAGCAAGGTTCAAAAGACAAAACTGCCTTTAGTGTTCCAGGAACTGATTGCGTGCATATAAGTGATTGAGAGAGAAACACAGATTGGATGAATTCAGGAAGAACAATAGGAAAGTGCCATTTTAATCTGGTTCTGGTGAAGGTGGGCAAAGCGGATTAGACTAGAAGAGCCTGCACAAAGAGGAGATTCAATCTGCAGCTGTGCACCAGACACACATTCTGTATCCTGATGCATTTAATATCAGAAAATGTTCCAACACCCTCAATCAGTCTTATATAAGATTGGCCCTTTCTGTGCTCTAATTTTTCTCAGTTAAATTATCTTCATTGCTGCTAACCTGGATTTGAACCTGCAAATATAGTGGCCGACCTTCAAATACAGCTCTTTGGAATTTTTGTTATATCAATGACTATGGGAGATTCTCCTGCTGAATCTCCGGATTCTGCCTGAAGGAGTGGTGGAAGCAGATTCAATAATAGCTTTCAAAATGGAATTGGATATATACTTGAAAAGAAAAAAATTGCAAGGCATAGGGAAAGAGCGGAGGTAGTGGGACTAATTGGATTGTTTTTTCAAAAAGGCACAATGGGCCGAATGGTCTCCTTCTGTGCTGCAGAATTCTATGATTCTATAAATTGGTTATTCGCTTTATGGCTGTTTGTGGGATATTGCTGTGCGCAGATTGGCTGCTGTGTTTGCCAACACATACACAGTCACTCCACTTTACAGTAAATCCTCTGGAGTGCTTTGAGCCATTTCAACAGCATGATAAAGTGTTATATTTGATGCAAGTATTATTATTATTCTCATCTCTACTTGGTTTCCTTACACTGTTCAATCATTTCTGAAACTTATTTTAAACTATTTTTATTTGCTAAAATTCGTTCCCTCTAATTCATATTTAATTTACTTTAATCTGTCCTGAGCCTTTAAGAGACTATGGCATTCAACTGCAGGGAAAATGAATGTGATAAGGGTTGTGCTATAAAACCATCACACTGCTCACTGACAATGCTGCTTCTGATGGTTGTACTAGTTGCGTTGGGTCGGAAGGTTTGTGGGCTAAATCCTCAGAGCCTACAATGGGACTCCAAAATAAAACTGAGGGAGCACTGCATTGTTACTGATGGTGTGATTAAACCAAGGCCCTGTCGGTTGTTGCAAGCAGATATTAAAGATCCCATTGCAGTATTTTGAAGAGCAGAGATTTCTCCCAGTGTCTTGACCAACATTGCTCTCTCACCCAAAACACATTGAATGTGGATATTTATCTCATTGTTGCTTGCGAGATGTTGCAGTCACAGATTAGCTGCCATGTTTTCCTATGTGACAAGTCACCACAGTTCAAAGCCACTCTTTATGTGAAGAGTTATAAGATGCTCTATGGCACACTTGGTTACTTGCTATTATGGTGCCCCAGATTCCTCACTACTGCCTCCTGGATTTCTTACTTCAGCGTCCCGAGTGCTTATCTTTTCTCTCCGATGTCACCTCTTTGATTTCAGCTCAGTTCTAACCACCCCCCCACCACTCACAACACTGGAACCAGAATGGTCCACATTTATTCTCAACCAACTCTGCCTCTTTCAATTTCCCCTTGGCAAGATCTAGCCCATCAAAAGTCTGCCCAAGACATACCTCTTTTATCGCGCTTTAAGTCATCTCTCCACACCCCATACTCTTCGCCCCCACCCAGCTTGGGTACCCACTCAGCAGTAAGTGCTTTGAGGCACCACTCACTCCCCCCCCCCCCACTACCCCGATGTAAAATGCACATAGGAACATATGAAATGCTAGATGAATAAAGACCAAGGTCCATCCAGTTCACCTTCCACCATCCTGGCAGTCACATGCCCGTGTCATGTCCTGAACTACCCATCTACTGTATCCCGAAATATTATTTACGAAAGGAAATCTATCTAATTTGCATTTGAAAGCATCAAACTTTCTGCTTCCACTGTGTCCCTCAGGAGCCTGTTCTATAGATTTATCTACGGTGCTATACAAAGGTGCTATATAAATGGAAATTGCGTTGCACATAACTCCATGCCTTCAATAATGTGGCCATGCCTGTCCCAATCTCATCACCAGCTGCTGTGCACGCAAGGAACATTTGTTCCCCTTTTCCCCGGATTTCGCTGCTCAGATGCAATGCGTGATCCCTGTGGCTTAGCACTGAGACTGTTGCCATGACAACTCAGAGGCAGTACCTCCGCTGCTGTCGTTGAGAACTTACATCACCCGACAGTACGGCTCCCACCAGCAATTATAATGCCTTTAACTAGAGTTCCTTTGTTAATTATCACGTGCTACAATAAACGTTCATCACTTAAATCAATGCCAGACTTGGATTTGGTACTAGTTACATTTGGGCAAGTTTCCAAAACACTTTAAACCACATAAAAACACCATAAAGTTATTCAACACCAACAGTGCCAAGCAATAACACACAGGGGTGGATCCACAGTGAGCCCTTTCAGACTTCACTAAACCATCATTAAAATGGCATTTTCATGTCGAGTTCTTGGAAATTTGTCCCCATTTTGGGCGCAAGCTATTTCACGGGGCTCTTTTCAACCTTTCTTCACATCGGATTATTAGGACTCACACTATTGGCATATGTGTGAATGTGTGAAGGTTGTCATGTGTTTCACAAAGCTTGGCGGATTGTACAAAACACCTGAGCTCTATCGAGCTTTGCAATGCACAAGCATTCGATTCCTGAAACGATTGATTTTTGATTTGTATTTCCAAACCCTATTGTCTTTTCGGCCCGCACATCATTAGTTTGCATGGAGGTCACTTACCACCAATATTGCTCTGTATCCAACCACTAGAAGATACGCAAGAGCATCCTCGGGTTACCATCCCGTTGTGTACAGCTCCTGCTCTGCTTCTGTCCCCTCCCCTGACATTCGGTGACCTGTGCTGGGTGGGTAGCCAAGACGTTGAACAGTCAACCTCACAACCTCTTTAACCACAGCACCACCTTGGTCTGACTCTTGTAGATTCTTGCAGGCTTGTAGATATTTTAAAAATTATTTTTTTCTCCCTATATGAGCCTTTTTAATGTACACCAATTGAAATTCCTCAGCATTTTAGTTGTGTTGATAATTGCCTGGCCCCAGATTTTACATGCTTTATCCATGTTATGAGACTGAGCAGCATTTTCACATGAAGCACAAATATATTAGTAAGATGCCAAATATGTTTGTGCCTTAGGAGTCTTGTAGCTCAGTGGTTAGAGCAATTATCTTGCAAGCGAGAGACCTGGGCTCGATTCCCGGCACGAAAAAACCATGGGCAAGTTTCCTTACTCCACACGCCTGATAATAAACCCTCAATAAAAAAAAATAAAAAAATTGGTCACTTCAATCCACGACTGTTTGTGGGACACTGCTGTGCGCAATTGGC